AAAATACATGTAAGTTTTGATATAGATGCACTTGATAAAGCAATCACACCGAGTACAGGTACTGCGGTGAATGGCGGATTAACGTTGCGTGAAGGTATTGCACTAATAGAAGCTTTTCGTGATACTAAACGTATACAAGGAGTTGATTTGGTTGAGCTTAATCCTTTACTGGGCACAGAAGAAGATGTAAAAACTACGTTAAACTCAACATTAGAAATATTAAAAAGTTTTTATGGTTATAAACGCGCTGGTAATTTTTCAAATATCAATACAGATTTATTTAAAAGTAATTAAAAATTTCGAAATAGAAATGTATTTACAATAATAAATTATTTTTAAAATTCGATTTTGCCTATAATTTTATATATTCGATTTATTTGTGTTATGCTTAATTTTTATTAGTTGGAATGGTGGGTACAAAACCGGTAACTATATGAGATTCTAATGCTTCTTGCGTCATACTGTTCGCCACGTTAATGAGATCATTTGTTATACTTGTAGCTGCTATTGTTGGTCGTGGTATACTATTACTTTGTGATATTAAAGGAATTTTTAACGTTGACTGCTGCAGCGCCTGTGGTGCTAATGTTTTTATAAATTTGCGTTGTAATGCTAATAAAATTGAGTTAAGAACGCCAGATATGACTATAATTCCCGCTATTATAGAACATAAACGTATAACGAATTGTATAATATTATCTCGATCAGTACGCACAATTATTTTTAAAGCAGACCAATCATATTTGAAATAAATACCGGGCGATCCAAATGTATTCTGCGCAGCATCTGCAAATATATTTTTAACATTATTATGCATAATGGTATGTAGGTATGTGTACAGTAATATACTATTATTTTTACCTAATTTACGAACGTTTTCTGTTACGGAATATTGATAAGTATTAATAGTAGAAAATGTGTTATGAATTTCTGTTGGAACAATTTTTAAAAAATATTGCACAGTTGTTGCATCATCTCCTACAAATGTTTCATCACCTTCTAGTGGTTGTACGATACGGCGAGAATATGTGCCAAAACTGAGTCGATTAATTCGATGCGTAAAGTTAGCAGGAAGACGTCGTAGTTCAATTACAAAGTGATCTTCAAGTAGACCAAATACCGGTTGAGCACCTCCTATTAAATGTAATACACCAGCTACCTAAGAAAATAAAACTTCGGATTTATTTTATATTAAATATATATTAAAGAAAGATATGAGATAGTCTAACCTTATTTATACCTAGTGTACCATGTAAACGACATGCATCATATTGTTCTTCGGGTAGAGGTTTCTCATTCATAGTAGGTGTATCGTGTGCTTCATTACTTTTAATAATATCTTTAAACAATATATCTGCTACAGAATGATATTCTTCCCGTAGAAACGAATTAATATGTTGTATACGCTCAAAATCCATACGTTGTTCCGTTGTCATTGCCCACCAAGTACCTTCACGTTGAAGGGTACCATAAGAAAATACATCCTGCTGCGTTTCGTCCATTAAATCTACTCCGGACAAAGCTACGAAATTTGGCACGAAATTAGTATTTATATTATTTGTTATTTTATTTTTTTTAAATTATAAAGTAAGTTAGGTTAAATTATACCGGCAATCCCTAGAGACAATCCATTGTTTTACCGTATAATTAAAAACTCAAGGGTTAGAACCACTTAGAAAATTTGGCAAAGCTTATAATGCTATTTAGAGGAAGGTCTTGCAGTTCGCCAAGATCTTCGTAAAAGAAAGCGACGCCGTGCAAGAGCTGGACAGAAGCAAATCAGATGGGAGGCAATTTCATCATCCTCTCCACGACTGCGGCCGGTATGGTTGAAAAGGAGACTGGTCTCCTAGCATGGTTACTTAAAACACAATGTACCTTATATGTAAACGAACTATCTCTACGGGGTATCTCAATGAGAGAGTCTGATATTTTTTTTAATTGGAGCGTAGCCAAATCACATACAGTCTGCATATCATTGTGACTTTCAATCTTTTGTTAAAAAAATTCGGCACAGGAACGATATATTAAGATTGTGTAAGTATTTTGAGTGGATTCCTAATCTGGCTAGTCTGGTTAACTCGTCTGCTTAACAGTTGCCGAAAATATCCCTTTGACCGGGAACCTAGATTAGAGAAAAACTGAACGGATTGACATATTATTTAGAGATATATAGCAGTCAAAGACTGTCCTACATGTAAATTGCACTGAGCTCAAGGACTTTGAAGTAGCTTGACTGTTCGAATGTATATATTCCTATTAAGTAAAATTATAAGTGTATTTGTGACTTATGTGTCTGTATTGATATGTATACATAGGTTTAGGTTTAAAAAATTTGTTCGATAGCTCAAAATTGTAAGATTATCTATCCATCTAATATCAGCTATAGTTTTGAAAAGTAAGTGAATGTGATTTCATTTGTAAATAAAACAAAAAAAACAGTAAAACAAAATTTTGAAAAAACAAATGCCATAAGAAAAATTAATAAGTAATTGGAAGGCATAAATAGTATAGCATTAAGAGTGGGAACTAAAAGGAACCTAGATCGTATTCAGGCAGAGAGACCTTGAATAAGTTTTAGTAGATTATTTAGCTATTCATAATAGTTTTGTGTAACTGTTAAATATTATTTAATTTTTTTTAAATAACTATTGAAACTTACATGTGCAAGGCATTGCCACTGTAATATCAACGTTCATTAAAACCTTGTCATCCATATCAATATCAGGCTCGAATTGGTAAACAAGATTTGCATTCTGATAATAGCAAATTTCTTTATAAATAAGATAGATAATTAATATTCGACTAAGAAGTGATACTGTAATGTGAAAAAAGTAACAAATATTTAAAATTTAGTTGTGCACAAGTAAAATTCAAAAACTTACACGTCCCCCCAATTTCGGATGGTTCAGTATATTTTTCTGGAACTTTTTTAAAGGCATCTAAATTTTTTGCCATTTCAATTAAATTACTTCTATCGCCGCGATATCGCAACGTTGCAGCCATTTTAAACAAATATAAATATAATTTAAGATTTGTTATTATATTCCCGTTGTATTTTTCATTCAATATAAATATGTAAATACATATGACAGCCGGAATCAATTGTCAGATATGCCAACGTCAGCTGAAAGTAAAAGTGTTGGAAACCATTATATGTCGTGAATACACTATAAAAAGTTTATAGATTTGTTTGTAAATTTTATCATAACATCCGATTTTTTAAACATGTGTAATTTTCTTCATATGTATACTATTAAAAAAAGTTGAAGACAACACAACAAATTTGCAGCAAACTCAATTAAACTACAACAATAAACATAACATTGGACATTTATGGCGTTTTTGATTATCAAATTAGGATTCAATTAATCTATCGATTTATCCACTATAGATCGATAATTTAATACCTAATTAAACATCAAACTCTAATCTTTATAGTTAGTTACTCGTAAAAAAATTTAAGTCCTAAATTTCAATTCAGAATAGACTAATTCAAAAATCAGTCTATAGTGGGTGTTCACTGAAATTCCGGTTATCCGGTAAAATCATATGAGCATTTCGTTTAAGCATGGTTTAGACGATACTACATGTACGCCGCTAAGGTATGCGCTTTGCTACACACTTTGAAACAATTAGTAATTTTATCGCATACAAGTCGGTAGTCTGAAATTTGGTATGCATACTTGAATATACATAGTGCGATTTGATAGTACGGTATGCTTAATTAATAATTTCAAATACACGAATAAAAAAATTAATCTAAATATGTATGATAAAAATGCTTACTAATATATATTTTTCTAATATTTTTTTATTTTTCTTTCATATAAATTAACACAACTAACAACTTATATTAAAAAAAACGTATTTACCATTAAGCAAAAATTAAGGCTAATTACGGCTTATGTATAACAAAGCTTAAACGTACGATAATTTTAATTTACATTTCTTGCTGACATTCCTCATTATCAAGTGTATAGTTCTGTCAATTTTAAGCTATAAGTTACTTTACAACACTACTTAAATAACAATCTTCTGGCGTTCGTGAAGCAAAACAGAATTTTTTTACAGTTATTGTTATTATGGATATTAATTGGATCAAGATTACTGAAAGGTAAAAATAATAACAGTAATATAATTTGTGAGCATATTTAGATCAACTTATATACATTTTATGTGTAGGGCACGCGAAGGCATTAAAATTATTAATGCATTGCCATACGAAACATTTACAACGGTACTTAATTTTGTTCATCGACAAATGAGCCCCACTGATCAAGATCAGGATATGGTTGAGCCAGAAAATGCACTTGAAGAACTTGAACGTTTAGTAGGTGTACCTAGAAGTGATTTTCTACTTCTAATAAAGACATTTTCTTATATATTACGTCGTACATCAACTTTTGTTATTAAACCTTCAAGATTGCAAGTAGAATTACGCGAAAAACTTCAATTGCAAGAAGCTAAAATTGATGCAATAATTCGGTTATGGGTACGACAAACAACACCCATCATGAATAACTTAGCAAACGAACGTTATGAATCAAATGAAATAAACGACGTGGCTTGGAAACTTAATGTTGAAATATCATCGCACTGTCAACAACGTGAAAAAAATGCATTGGCCGTACTTCAGTTAAAAACTGGAGCTGGTGAAGATATCAACTTGGAAATGAATCACGAAGAATTGTATCAGCTTTTTAATCAATTTGAATCGATTCAGAATGAATTGGATGCAATAAAACCAATTTCGGATGCAACAAACAGTTCGGTTGTGAACGGTAGTATCAACAAATAAATTAAGCTAGCATTTTTGAGTTCTCAAAATTCAACAAAAATGTAAGTCCTTTAAAAGATTAGTGTGTTGACTGTGTTGATATGTGTATGTCTATAGTATTTATTGTAGTTAAATGTTTAATTATATGTAAGAGTAAATTCAAGCTTAGATTTTATTAATTGTATAAAATGGCGCTGTTTCAAATAATTGTTAAAAATTATAGAGCTGAAAACTTATTAAATGTATGTATTAAATAAATTATTGTGGCATTCCTCAAATTGAATCTATTTAAATAAATCTCAACTTAATATTATATGCCAGCAATCAACCGAGAGCTGTAAGAGATCAATGAAAGTGCTTCATCTGTGCGTAATACGACGCACATCAAAAAATATTGCTAAAACGAAACTCTTTGTAGCAAAAAACACACAGCATATTACTTGCTATTGTGTATTTATTAATTTGTAATATTTAAATTTGACACAATTCCTATTTCCCGAGCTCACATATTTGGGGCAATGAACTTTAATAAAACTATTATTTTAAAGAAATTTTTTCACTATATGATGTATGTCAAAGTTGGATATATTTACATGAAAAACACCTTAACCAAGTAGATACATCATCCTGCAATTTTTGCTAATCCGTTGTTTGTCTTTTGTTTTTAACCTAGAGTAATTGTTTAATCATCTTTTACTCTCTTATGGTGGATATTCACCATCTCGAAGCGCTATATATATATATATATATCTTTTTCTTTTTTTTTTTCTGTGTTTCCGTCTATAGGTCACTTTTGGTTAAATAATTAACGTTTGTTTAATATTTTTTTTAATATATTTTATATTTCGACTCACCTGGAGAGTCATCATCAGGATCACCATCTAACATAGATTAATATTAATAAAACTATATATACGTCATCCTCTTCATTGTATTGTCTATATTGCAAGCCACCTTTTCTCAAAGGCTTCTCAAACATTACCGTTCCTTTTTCTGTGACTTTTTCTGTCTTGTAGCTTTTTGTATCTTTTGTGACATCTTGCGAATTGAAGTTCAGTTATTGTAGTGAAATTAAGCCTTTTGGATTGGCGACTTTTTTAATTTAGTTAGAAGACTTATTAGTTTCTAGTCTTGTGACTAAATAATATTTTTCGTGGCATTGTTTGGTAGATTTTTCAAATATTAGTTGCAAATTTTATTTTTGCGTTTTGTGATTCCTGATTCCTGATTAAACGTAATGATTTCAGCTTAATTTGTTGGGGCTATGTGAACATCATCAAAACTTGAAATGTATTTGTGGTCATTCTGCTCTATTCGTATTATATCGGCATTTTTGTATCTGCATTAGTCCATCATTGAGGAAGTCAGCCAAAAAAAAGTCACCAGTTTCTAAATGATTTAAAAATTTGTTCTAGCACCAGTGTCGTTTGTTTTAAGTTACAAATTTCCTAATTTGTTTCTAATGATGATCTCAATAACATGAGGCAAAGATAATAAGATGTGGCAAATAACTCTTGAATTTTCTATCAAGAGGTACATAACAAAAATTTGTTGAAGTAAGTTAACACAATCCAATTTATGCTTTTTTTTTTAAAGTAATTAGGAACAAGGCAAAGCAAAATGTTATGTTATTAATTCTTTGTTTGAAACTATTTTTACTTTTCGGTTTTCAATTGTACACATATTAGATTTAAAAATGGAAATAACACCAGCAATTTTATAATATAATTTTTTACAACTTTATTTTGTAGTTGCATAAATCTTTGATTCAATTTTAAAAGATTTTATAGAATGTATATTCCATAAAACCATATGTAATAGGAAGTTTTTCAAAAAATTAATACACAATTAAAACATATAAAAGCTGTGTTGGAGTTATTAGTATTGCGACCGCGTTCGTGTTCTAAATCTTACTTTTCTCTATAAACAAATTTATAAAAAAATATAGTTTACAATTCCCAATCTTATAAGCATTTGATAGTGCTCTATATTAAACTATGTGAGCCAAGGTAGTAGTAAAATCAAACTATTTCGTTTTCCAGACTGGAGGTCCCAGTTTACTTAAAGTGTGGTGACACAATGCAAAATGGAAATGGTGTTTCTTCACAGCAGCAATCGAATGGGTAGCGCCATTTGTCGCTTGTTTTAGGCTATGAGATTGAAATCTGAGGGAATATTCATGCCCCATATGCATGCTTTGACTAGGTAAGTCAAGCAATTTCTAAAAAATATGTAGGTTTCTTTAGGAGTCAAGTTGTTTTATGTTTAAAAGTTATGCAGTTGTATAATGAAAATGTGTGAAAAATATTTTGTGTGAAAAAATGAAGTCTGTATGTAGTTTTGAATGTATTTTTGATGACTTCTGAACAAATTATCTATGAATTAGTAAGAAAATCCTAAAAGATATGCAATGTATATATTGGGACCGTAACAGTTATCATAAAAAAAATAAAAATCACCTTTTAACTATTATCATTTGCATTTTAAAATAAAACTCAAAAAATAATAATTAGATTTGCTTTATATTCAATTCCTCAAAAATAATTATTTTATGTGCCTTTTATTTTTTCGCGCAGAAATAACTCTTAAAATTCTGTTTTTTTTTTAAACGCACTGTTACTTTGCGTTATAAATATAAAAATCATGAATAACTGGCACTGGCCTGCCGAATATATTTAAAACGAAAATATATAAAATGTATTTTTCATACAAGTTAGTTGTTTTAGTAATTTCATACAAAATGTTCATATATAAAAAGCATGCATAATATGCTATTAAGTATAAAAGTTGTTAGAATGATAACTATATACTTAAATATTAGTTTAGACAACTTTTTGTTGGTGCTTTTTTTCATAAAAAAACCGATTAGGACAAAATGTTAGGTATCGATGTATTGTCCGGAAACTATATGTACATAAGTTTAAGGCACTTTAAAGCTGATATGTTAAATAAAAAACACTCAAAAATAGTGTGATTTACTGCAAATATATCTTATCACAGTTCAATATAACTGTTGCAGGACCGAACGGTGAAAGAACAGAAGTGAGTTACAAAAATTGCAAAAATTTCTATCGTTTGCAAGTTTGGGGAATTGAAATGCATTGCTTTGGTTGTAAAAAGAATATATATATATAGAATGAAATCGAAGTAAGTGAATTTTGAGTGGAAGGTTAAAAGTATGGAATTTACATTTAAAATGTATTTTTGGAATATGCAAAAAATATATATCATCAAGGAAGTGTGGATTGCGTTCATTTGCTAAAGCAAATTGTTGATTATTATTTTTTTATAAAGCAATCATATCCTTTTGTTGCATTATTCCAAATAAAATTTGTGATATAACATATGAACATGGATTTTCAAATATTTTTATAAAATAGCAAATATAATAACCATTTTTAATGTTATTATTATGTTGAAGCTATTTGAGCCAGTGCACTTGAGTACTTTTACTTTTTATTAACTCGAGGTATCTTCAAATCCCCTCTTTACGCCTTGATTGGATTATTGTTTATCACTTCATCAGACTAAGCAAAAATTGATCTCAGATCTGGGTACCTCCCCGAGGAGCCTGTAACCATTCTGAGATTCGATAACGCGCTGTTAGTAAGTCTGTCAGTTTTCGTAAATAATTTCAGGGCTCTATCCTTTATGTATTTTTTAATCGGATCAATCTTGAGGTCTCTGAGGATGTC